AAAAAAAAGAAGTAAAAATTCTGAAGGGGAAAAAAAAGAATCTGGTGGCAAGAAGCTGCACTGCAATCTCAGAGGTGTGCAGTTCAAATCCACCAGATGTTCTGCTGGAGAAGAAGGGGCAATTTCCTCCTGTACAGATCAGATCCGATTTGATGGTACACACACACAAATAATTACATTTAAAAAAATTAAAAAAAAGAAAAAAAGAATCTTGAGAACATTTCCAGGAACAAAAGAAAGCAAACAATTGAAAGGTCAACACACTTTAAAATATTTGTGGTTCTTGATGAATTTAGATGGGAAACTTAGATGTTATTATAACTTTTTTTTTTTATTCTCTCAGACTCATTGCCTTCTAGCTGTAATCGACCCTCCACTGGGTTTCCAGTGACATAAATCGCAGGTGACGAGACAACCATCTTCCGTTCTAGGATCTGAACCATGTCTTTGCGTCACAACTCCTATTTCTTTCACAACATCATTTTATCGTGTTAATGCATTCTGTGTGTACTCGGTCAAATGCATGTATAAACAGTTATGTACACCTTATACTGCTAGTCGTTTATATAGACTGAAAAGTATCACACATTCAGTTGTTCATGCAGACACCTCTTGAATTTGTGTGTATTGCAAATTGAATTTGTGATACACAAAGCACTTTCTAGAGGGTAAAAGTATAGACAAAACATAGTCCCTGCCCTTGATAGTTTGCAGTGTGGTGAGAGGGGAGTATGGAGATAACAGTTGGGGATCAGAGTGAGATAAATGCGATGTCTGGTGGCTCAGCGGTAAGGACTTGCACTACCAACCCAAAACCTACAGTTTGAGACCACCAGCGGCTCCACAGGAGAAAGATGGGTGGTCTCTCTCCGTGCGATTGCCTGCCTCTGAAAACTGCTGGAGGGTCAGCTATGGACCGGTCACCTCAACAGGATACAGCAGCAGCAGAGACTGAACAGTGAGTGTGTCAAGGTGGGAGCGGAGCTCTGTGTGGCAACACCCTGGTTTATTTTGCCAACCTCCCCCACCCCTTGGCTTCACTTCATAAAGCCGGCTTTATACCTGTTATCATTATGGACTTCCCAAACTTGTCTAAAATAAAGTCCTCAGGTTTGTTCCTGGACAGGCATTGTTGTTGTTGTGTACCATCTAACAGGATCCGACTGGCATAGGAGAAGGTTGTCCGTCCTTCTCTAGCAGAACATCTGGTGGATTTGAACCATGTGTCTCTGGGAGTGCGGTGCAGCTCCTTTGCCACTGGGCCACCAGAGCTCACTTGGATAGGCTTTTCTTTTGGTAAATAACATCTAGTCCACTCAGTTACACATCTCATTTCGCTCCGTTCTTTTTCTCTTTCTCTTCTCTCCACAAGTCTCATATTTCAGGCCTTCTATTGGTGCTAGCAAAGGAGAAGACCCCCAATCAAGTAAGATGGAGTGATCCGATGACTTCAGCGGTGGGCCGTAGTGCGTCCGATGATAAGGACGGCACAGGGTAGGGCAGGGTTCAGGTCAGCTCTTCACAGTGTCACTGTGAGTCGTGCTTGACTCGATAGCACCTAACAACAACAACCACAGGCATTAGCAGTTACACTCTTGGATGTGTCCTTTGCCTCCACGCTTGACCAAGCTGCCATCATTTCTAAAATGACTGTTTTACTGGTCTCTTCTGTTTGAGCCCTCTATTCCCCGAATCTGCTCTCCACGCTGTGAGCAGACTCCTCTGTCTCCTGTAGACACTGTAGCCTCATCCTGGTCTCCCTCTTGGCATTGAGGCTTCAAAACACTCAAACTCGTTGTCAAGTCAAAACCAATCCTCAATGAATTCTGCATCAGATTTCCAGGAGGCTGTAAATGGCCATTCTTTCTCCTGACCAGCTGTGGGTAAAATGAATAGCCAGAGAGGGGCTGCCTGTGCGTTTAGTGGCTCAGCTCACTACAGACCACACCACCAGAGCTCTCTCCACTCTGTGATGTTCTGGTACTTTCTAAAACATTACAGTCTTCCCTGTCCTGCGCCACCTTGACCATCTCTCCCATGATCGAGCCCACGGTTCGAATCCTGGTGTTAATCCTTCTGATTGAGGGTCTTCCTTTCTTTCTCTGACCCTCCGCCTTTCCCAGCATGCCGCCTTTGTCCCAGGACTAGCCCTCTCTGGACAATATGCCCAACGTATGTGAGATGAAGCTTCACCATCCTTCCCGCTTAAAAACACTCTGTGTGCACTGCCTTTCAAGACAGACTCGTTTGTTTTTTAGGCAGTCCACGGGATCGGCGACTATTTTTGTTGTTGTTGTATATTGTCAAGTTGGAACCAACACCGAGCTGACCCTCTAACAAGTTTTCAGAGGCAGTTAATTGCACAGGAAGAGATTAGATTGCAGGTCTTCCTCCTGTGGAGATGCTCGTAAATTTGAACCACGTTCCTTTGAGCTGCCAGCCCAACTCTTTTTCCAGAGCTCCTGGTTAGTGTAGTCTCTGTGTATTTAACCCTCCTGTAAATGTTATGCTGTAGGTATTGTTAGGCACCGGGATGCACCAGCCCAAGGCAGTTGGAGTCTGGGTATTTTGATGGTGCCGCTAGGCTGTGCTGCTTCATTACCTATTGCTTTTGCTCGTTCAGAAGCCGCTAACCTCTCCCTTTTTCTGTTAAACTGGCACAGAGGGGAAAAGTACAGTCAGGTTTAGTAATCTCTGCCGGAGACCAAACTATTAATTATTCCACATGATTGGTGCTTACTGTTCCTACAATGCACATATTGTATTTCTCTATTTAAGGGAAATTATGTTTGCCAGCGTTTTTATTGCTGTACCTAGATTCTTGGCAATCTTTTTTTTAAAAAAAAAATAGCCACTGGTAGAAGTTCAAAACAAGTCACTGATAAGCGATGGCAACAAAAGCCTCTTTAAAAGAGTTTGGAGGTTGTAGACTGGTCACGTAAGTTAAGGGATGGAGGAGGATGTGACGGGGACTGGAAGAGAAAAGAGCCCGCAGCTGGAAATGGTAGGAGGTTACCAAACAGCGTCAAGGGTCACCGGTTTTCTGAAATCATTTGTGGTTTTCCCTTATTTAGATACCACAAGCTTTCCCAAGTGAACTTTCCCATGTACTTTTCTAGTCAGTTCTTAACTCTGGTATCAAAATAAGCTATCCCTCAGGGTTTCGTCTGTGGGTGGTTTTTGGTTGGTTTCCCCTCCACACACACTGTTCCCCTGTTGGGACATGAAATGTTGCTCATGATATTGGTCCGATCCTGGTCCCTAAATGTCCTCTAAAACCCTAGAATCTCCACCACCTTTTCCTGCTGTTTTCAAGATCCTTGTCTCCCAAACTCAGCTTCTAGGGAAGGACAGTCGTAAGTACCATTTGAAAAGGGGACTGTGACTCATAAAGGTCGGGGAAGGTCCTGGCACCATCCACCGGACGTTCCTGGAAGGTTGGCATATGCAGGGTCCTTACTAGTCCCTGTCCCGGTCCCTTTCTGAGGTGATTGGATCCTCACGAGGGGAGCACACACAGACAGACACACATGCGTTTAAGGTGAAGTGAGGTTCCCTCGACTCATGTGTCCCAGAGGAGAATTGTGTTCTGTGGGTTTGGTTTGTTTTTTTTTTTTTTATATCTAGTAGCTGGTTTTCTTGGAAGTCATTCGCCAGGTCTGTCTTCCGTCTGAGGTCGACCTGGGTGGATTTGAACATGCAGTGATTAGGTTCCCAGTGAGCATGTTTACCTTTTGCATCATTCCTGCGCGGCCTGGGGTGACAGTACAGTGTGGTGGCTGAGAGCGTGGGCAGGTGGAGGTCTGGGCTCGGCAGCGCCCTGTCTGAACTTGGACCAGTTGCTGTATCTTGTTGAACTTCCACTTCCTCACCTGTGCAGTGGGATTGTCGCCGGTATCCACAAGGTTTTGGTGTGGATCAAGGTTATTAACAGTTTCCAACGTGTGCTGGTGTAATGTTGCTATAAAAGTACGCAAATTACCACGTCCACCTATTCCTCCCCTCTGCTCCCTGCATTCTACTCCCGTGTCTTCACCTCCTCTAAGTAAGTCTGTGGAACGCCATTCTGCTTCAGCAGATGCTGAAATGCCCTTGAGAACCTTCCCATAAATTGCTGAAAGTGACTTCTCTTTTGATTTTTTCTAATCTGTGGTCTTCCCTGGCAATAAATCTGACAAAGAGTCTCAGAGTCCAGCTCTTGCTCCCTCTTCACTGTGTCCTTTGCTTCCTTCCAGCCTCACTGCCTCTTCCTCCCTTGGCACTCCTTTTTCTCGGTCACTGTTAATTGAGAACCAGCTAAGGGCCAGCGCTGGTGCCACTGGCAGGGGATAGAAAAGTAACAGAGGTGTAGTTTCATACACCTGAGTCAGAGATGTGAGCGGAACCAGCCTGCATGGAAAGCCCAGTGACAGAGGCCTGGGCTGTGGGAGCATGAAGTCAGAACCTTAATCTTGTATCATCACAAACCCATATGTCGTTTGATGTAACGCGATCAGTTCACCCAGCTCTTCACATGAGGGCAGCTGTCTGGGGTCACGTCTTCCCTGGAAGCAGATGAAGCATCTCCCAGCGAAGGGCTTGATGGACAGTGATCAAAGCTGTCTTCAGCGGCGAGGTGGCCACGGCCACTGTAGATGTAGCAAGGAGAGGCGGGATGCTCACTGCAGACTGCGTGGCGATGGTAGTGGAGACACGCGGTCTACAGTGGGACGTACCCTTCATTTACTTCTCAGCTCCTGTCGCATCTAGAAAAACTCCGGTCCTCGATGATCCAGGACGCAAGTGCGATGAATGCTTTCCACAAGCAGAGGGTAGAAGAGCTGGGCCAGAGGGTCCAGGAGCAGAATGAACTGATTGCAACTCAGAGAAAGCAGGTATGTCTGCTGATATGTTGACACTTCGTCTGCAAAAGCCTTCTGGGTGGATTTTTAAGGGTGAGCTTTTTGACAGTGGCATCAAAGTCCATTGGATTGACAGATTCATGACCTCAGTGGTATTACTGTCAGGCCAAGGCTTAGTCTATTAGAATTTGATGCACTATAGAAACTTCCATGGGGATGACTTTATTTTGATCATTTGCAGATCATTAGAGTGAAATAATAAACTATCTTTGAGGGTAATTTTCACTGATATTTATCAAGGCAGGAAGTACTTGAATATAATTGGTTTCAGTATGTTCTCCAATAACTATACATAAGTGAAATAAATTTTTTTGCCGAAAATGTTTATTAGGTAATTTTCACTGATATTTATCAAGGCAGGAAGTACTTGAATATAATTGGTTTCAGTATGTTCTCCAATAACTATACATAAGTGAAATAAATTTTTTTGCCGAAAATGTTTATTAGGTATACAAATGATGTATTCAAAAGACTATCATTATAGGATGATGCATTCTTTTGATTGTAGCAGGATTGTAACTTCTGGATTAAACCAAAAGGACATAAAAAAAGAGCATTGACTTTTATTTCAGAGTAATTGTACATTGTTTAAGTAAAGAAAATGACATGTTCTCCTCCATCATTGCTTGTAAAAGTAAATTTTAAAAGAAGTAAATCCAGTAAGAAAAACTTTGAAAAATACTATAAGGGCGGGCGTACTAATTTCAGACTCAGAATAAATCTGGAGGTGGATTTGATTTGTTTTCTGGTCATTGCCTGGGGAAACAGCTGCAAATCCAAATGCTGCTTTTAGAAACATTTGTATCTTTAATGTCCACGTACTTTGTGTCTTTGGAGGACTTGGTGGAAAAGTCGGTTCACTGAGTACAGGACCTGCCCATCGTGCATCGTGTCTGTTTTAGTTTCAAGTCTGTGTTGCTGGAAGATTGTTTCTCTTTGCAGATTAAAGAGTTTACCAGTAGATCATTAAACAGCATCGGTGAAGCCAGAGGTAAGTGGACCGGCCTTGCAGTGCTGGAGGCAAAGGGCACCACCCTCGTGGTCCTGCGCAGCAGCAGAATGTGGGTCCACACGGTGTGTGCCTGCTGAATGGGTCATCTGTTATTCACGACAGCAAAGAATTTGAGTAATGTCATTTGAGTCATCCAGTGAGTTCGTACAGGAAGCTCTGGTGGCTTAGTGGTAAGGAGTTGCACCGCCACCCCAAAGGCGTGAGTTCTGAGCCCACCAGGTGCTCTGTGAGAAGATGGGCTTTCTCCTTCCATTCATTTACTGCCTCTGAAAACCCACTGGAAGCTCAGCCAAGTGGTTTCTGACTCCATGACACATAACAGCCTCGAGTTCATATATCTGTGATTTCTGTCAGAACACTCTTAGGCACATCAGGCATGCCAAGCAACTATTTACCTACTGATGTAGATCCCATAGGCTAGAGTTGAGATTAAAAGAACAGGGTGTGGGAAGCAGCTGGGTCCAGCTCCTGTCTCCAGGCCTGTGAGGCTTTGTGATGGATGGACTGCTTCAGTCTCCTCATGTCTGTGGTCAGCATCGCAGTCAAAATCAAGTTGAAGGCAGAGTGTACAGTACAGGTGTTAATGCCATCTACATCATTGTTGGGAGCTTTAAATGAGATTAGCCAAGCCAGCTAGACATACCTTGCATATTAGTATAAGCTTATTATGTAAGCTTATTAATGCTTACTAGTGTTACTAGTAATGGTAAAACTCTTAATAATTAGATAAGTGAGTAGAGGGCACATAAGGAGTTCATCATTATAATTCATTACATTCATGAATGGCAACTAATGTTATAAAACAAAATGACTGAATGATTGCTTGGAAACAATCTGATTTATATACTCTAATAATGTTGGAAAAACACCAAAGATATAAAGACTTGCCAAGTAATACTCCTTTGTAGTATCTTGAAGGTTTTTTTTTGTTTTTGTTTGGTTGGGTTTTTTTTTTTACCTTAAGTGTATGCCACTCAAATTCTATTTTTTAAATTTTTTTAATTAATTTTTTTATTTTAATTGTCATTTTAACAAAAGTTTACAGAAAAGTTAGATTTTCATTCATTCCTTGTTGCACATTTTACCCCCTCTCCCTCCCTCCCTCCCTCATCCCCAAGCTTTTTTTTTACTAGTTTATTTACAAAATTCTAGTACAAATTTGAACAAATTCTTTCAATTTCCCCCCATCAAATTGTACATGCAATGATCAATCCCCCTTCCCTCTGTGCATCCACAGCCTTCTGCTTCCAGCCTCTCCCACCCCGCCTGGCTCCTTATACTCCTTGAAGGTTCTTTTTAAGCATTACCACCACACCTGCTGCTGCTGTCTGTTGGTTCTGCCCAGGGTGTTGTGTTTATGGTTTGTGTACAGCCGGCGGGCTTGCGCCTATCCGGGATGATGAGTGCGGGGCAGGATAGAACAGGATAGAATAGAACCTGTTGTGCGTAAGGACATCCTAAGTCGTCTCCACCTTGCGGGCACCTCACAATGACTAAAGCCATCGCTTTCCGCATCATTTGTAGAACTAGTCCAGAAAGGGCCGTAGGAGTGAGCAGTGAGTTTGGCGAAACAGAAATGAAGGTCTCCCAGTGCAGACTAAAGGCCTGATCCTCTTTGTAAGCCTTAAGTGCTGCACAGTCTTCTTTTACCCAAGGACCTCCAGCCAGCCAGGACTTGTCGCTGTGAGCTGAGCTGCATACCCTCAGTCTCTGGGGACCGTGGGAGACACAGTGATCTTGTGCTGAGATCAAGGGGTAGGGAAGGTTCTAGTTTTCCTTTCTTCTCTTTAGATGGTGAGAGTTCAGTGAAGCTATGATAAGCTCCTGTAATTATTTGAAACTCAAGCTCATTACCAGGGAGTCAAAACTGACTCCTCGCTGATCTTCCAGCGGTGTTCAGAGGCTGTGAATTGCACGAGAGGAGATTGCCAAGTTTTCTCCTTTCTCTGTGCCATAGAGAAAGACACTCCGTCAGAGCCCCCCTCTGGAATTACTTATATATCATTAAGTGTTTGGTTGAGCAGTACTTTTAGAAAGATTTTAGCTTAAAAGTTATTTCTCTTATCTTTACAAACTCTCTAAACTCTATAAATATGTTAGTTATAGAACAGAGTTCTGTACAGAAATTATATTAGTTATAGAACAGAGTTCAAATCTTTTGTGCAAACTTACTCTCGGTCATATTCAACTTGAGGACACCTAACCACTGCCAAGTGAGACTAGTGCTGTTATATCTGGAGGAACGAACACTCTTCCACTTTGTACATCACTCTTTGTCAGTGTGCAGTATGAAGTAACCTGGGTTTGCTGTGATGCAGAACCTTGTACCATTGGGGTATCAAATACCAGAATGGTTTCCCAGTGTGGACAGTGTTTAATGGAACTCCCACTTGTAAAACAGGTTTGGAAGCACGAGTGGCATTCACTTCCTAAACCACATGCCTCTGGAAACTCTGTGAACTTGGAGAAATGATGAAAGCTATGGAAAGGCATTAGGTCTTTTGCTCGTAGAGTCGCTGTGAGTCGCGTTCGACTCGATGGCAATCAACCATGACAACAACATCTTTACTTTATTGGGTGAATTGCTATATGTTTGGAAATTTCATTTATTTTCTTAGGGGAAATTGATTACAATAAAGACTTGTCAGTATTTATGCTAGAGCTTGTGATTTTTCATATTAACTAGTTTTTTTTGCTATTTCAGGGAATACCATAACCTGGCAGACGTTTGAATCTAAGCCGCCTGCCCCAGCTGTCCCTTGTAAGTCTCTATTATGGGCTGAAGGTATCCTTGAAGTGCTAATCCAAAGTAGACCTTTTGCTTACTTTTTGAGAGCCACTTTCTTTGGAGATTACATTATTGGTTTTGGTTGCTGGTTTTGACCTGGTTGTAAAACCCACTGTGGGAAGTGTAGTGGTGACTTTGGGGTCATTTTTGCCAGCCAGAGTTCTAGCTTCATATGAGTCTAGTCAAGCAGCTGCTGAGAATTCTTTGGCAGACTCAGGGATACGTCATTGGCAGTCCCAAATTCGACAGGGCAACCGTGTGACTGGTATATGTCACGTTTAGCGTCCAGAGGCTGGGATTGCCTGAGGCCTTGAACAGATGTCTGCTTGCCCAGTGGTGGTCAGCCTAGCTGTCTGACTCAGAGTTGTTGGGATTTTGCACGACACCAGAAAACAGTGATCTTTGCAATTTAGAAACCCAACACCCTTTTGAAAAAGCATAAGAAGTTAAATATTTTCATTTTTTCTTCAGGAAAGTATGAGGGAGGGAGAGAGAGAAGAACTGAGTGGTGAAAGGAAGGGAGCAGGTGTCAGTGAACAGAGGACAGATGAGGACATGTGAGCGAACCAGGGTCTGACACAGTCAGACTGAAGCTCAGGTTAGAGAGAGAGAGACAGCCCCATAAGTATGACCTCACTCACAGTGAGAGGTCTATGGCACGAAGCAAGGATGTTCGTGAGTTTTGGAATTTGGCACACCTGATAAGAAAATGCTGGTGATTTAAGCTCATGGTCTTGGATTTGTCTTAAGGCCTGCTGATGTTGGAAGCTCAGGTGATGCAGAGAAACGGGAGGGAAGTGGAGGCTGTGTGCCCAGGAAAGGAATGAGTGACAGCTAACCATCTCCATTCACTCTCTCCTGTCAAGGCAGTTTGAGTGATAGCAGCCCCTCTGCCGGGTTCCTGACACTATTGTGTCTCCATACTGACGCCGTTGCTCTTTAGTACTCTGACCCTGACAGCAGATTTTCCCAGTGTAGTTCATCTTTTGATTTCTTGGCTGCTGGTAACCAAGAGTGTTGATGGGCCATACAGTAACTGTTCAACTCTATTGTGAGCACAAAATCAGCCACAGACCAAGCATAAATGAATGAACTTGACGGTTCAGTAAAACTTTTATTAGAAGTGAAGCAGTGGTCCTGATTTCTCTTTTACACTATAGAATGTGAAGTCTTGATTCGGATTATACATGTTTCAAACAGATTTGAAGACCACAGATTCAGAATTATTAGCAATCTACATGTGGGTAGGATTTGAACAACTTCAGTGTTGGGCTTTCTGATGGCCAGGACATGGCTTTGGAAGTCAGTGAGGATTTCAGCCCAGTGTTTTCAAAAGTGTGATTCAATTTAAAGAGTTCTCTTATTAATTAAGCACAAGAAAAGAGACAATGGACCACCAGACAAATGTTAGAGGGAAAAAACCAGTATAAATAAGTAGTCCACAGAGGAGTCTTGAGCAAAACTTGAGAAATATTGCAGATAGGCCTGTGACCTCATCCTCTGGAAGCATTTTAAAATAATACTTTATCTTACATCTGTTCAGCTCTGAAGGCTATAGCTAGATTAACCACTTGCATTCCAGGCCAATGGATGGAAGAATATTTTAAAAATTTGTTTTCTCAAACACAGCTGTTCATGGCAGCCTTTTTCACAATAGAAAAAAAAAAAAAGGAAACAACCCAAATGTCTAATTAACAGAGGACTCAGTTGATAAAATATGGTATGTGTTTAACACGAAGCATTACTCAGTTATAACAAGGAATGAAACGTTGATGCCTGTGGTCACGTGAATGAGCCTTGAAAACATTATGTCCCATGAAAGAAGCTACATGGAAAAGGCGTCTATGGTTTGATTCTGTTTCTAAGGAAGGTCCAGAGTAGGCACGCTTATAGGGAGTCGATTCCTGGTCCCCAGAAGCTGGGGACGGGTGAGGAGGGCCGACAGATGAGTATGAGCTGGTTTTTGTCATGGGCTGGAGGAGATGTTTTAAAATTTGATAACCTTGATGATTGAATAACTGTGAATGTACTAAAATCCACCAAGCTTTTAGAAAAGTTGGTTTTAATTGGTTATGGAGTGTCTTTGTCATTTGAAAGGTATGTCCCTTCTGGTCTGTGTATGTTTGGCTAACTAGAGATGGTGGACTCATCCTGTTGGGGTGCTTTTGCTTTGATTGTGGAACTCAGTCAGCTTTGTCCTCCTTTTTGCCGTTTCAGTGAATGGCCCGGCACCACCCACTCTGGATGCCAAACCGGGTCTCCCACCAGCACATGGTAAGTTTCAGCATTTTCTCTCCACTTTCCATCCTGAGATAGAGAACTTATTAACTGAATGAGCTTCTCCGGGCTAATTATGTGAAACAGGAAACATCTTAGTGGTTTTAAAACATTGTAAATGGAGCATAAATACCGACGTCATGAAGTCTAAAATGCACATGTTGGCAGACTCACAAGTAGAGAGTTTAACTTCGTTTTGTATTCCTATTATTTGTGATTTTGGAGTGGAAAGTAATAGGTCCTGGGTGGGAATGGGGTGACCTTCTCCTGGGAGGCCAGCCAGCCAGCCAGCACATGCCACCGGGCATGCGTGACTGTTTTTCTAACTTTGAGTGTGGCAGTAAGTCACCCTTCTTAAACAAACAGTTTCAGTGATTGGTTGGGAAAATCTAGAAAAAAGACTCATGGTAGAAAAATAAACCACAGGGCAAAGTGGGCTCCATTAGACGACGTCACCGTCAGGACCCAGGTCTTAGGCCACACCCCAAGGAAGAGAATTGTTAGCGGGACCTGGTAGATGGGGTGAATATTTGTAGCCATGTTTTCCTTCAAACAATTAAGATGCTGACATTTTTCAAGATGTGCTTGTCAATCCCTGGTTTCCTTATGATCTGCTGTGCAGAGTGAGTGAATTACGATGGGAAAGGGACCGCGTTTTTTCCTGTTTTACCTGGAGGTGCATCTGGAACCCAAGGATTACATTCCTCTACTTTGTGCTTTGCCTTTCATTTGGATGTAAATCCCAGATGTGACTAATTTGACCACAGGCTGGACCCTTAGCGTGAAGGTCCTCAGTTACTGCGCTTCCTCGCTGTCTGACTCACCCCTCGAGTTTATTGTTGCACCTTTTTTTCCCTCCACATGATCATTTCAAGTCAATTTTCTTGTGCGTGCCATCAGTATATAATGTATACAGTCTCTATACAGTCCTTGTGCTGCATTTGATTGTTTATAAGTGTTTAGTGTATGCATGCTTTGCGTTTGTTCTTCTTTCTCCCTTTCTCTCTTTATAGTCCAGAGGTGGTGTTTTTTTTTTTTTCATGGATTTATCTTTTTTTCCTACTTGGTTATTGCTTGCCTCTATAAATTGTTGTGCATGGTCCACATTTTCTTGGTTCTGTGTTTGAGTGTCCCATAAAGGACACATAGAATAGGTACATTGAAAGCTACTATGAGATAACATCTCACTCTAGTAAGCATAGCAGAATTCAACAGAGAAGCAAACAACAAATGCTGGTGAGGTTGTGGAGAAACTGGAACCCTTATTCACTGTTGGTGGGAGTGTGAAATAAATGGTGCAACCACTATGGAAGGCAGGATGGCGCTTTCTCAAAAAGTTGCAAATAGAAATGCCCTTTGACCCAGCAATTCCACTACTGGGAATATACCCCAAAGAAATCAGAACTGAGACCCAAACAGATATATGTACACCTATGTTTGTTGCTACGTTGTAGCAAAGAGATGGAAACAACCCAAGTGCCCATCAACAAGCTAATGGATATAGCTGTGGTATAGTCATGCATTGGAATACTATGCAGCTCTGAAAAACAAAGAATTTACAAAATATAATGGGTGGCCCTGGAGGACATTATTCTGAGTGAAATATCTTAGTTACAAAAGGACAAATACGGTATAATAGCACTGTTATAAAACAGGACTGACAAGGGGGTTCGGGGGGAACTAAGAAAAGAGGGGATAAATAATGTACACGACATTGAAACAGATAAGGGAAAGAACTGCTTAAAAGGAATATATGATTAGGTATTATTTGCATGACAACAGTCCAGAATACAAGCTGCATAGCATAGTGGACTGGGGGAGGGAAGCAGAATTGTGCAATAATGAAAGAATTTTTTTTTTTCAAAGAGAAAAGCAAACTTTGGGGTGGGAAGGGAGGAAAATATAAGAATAGAAATCCAAGTTCTCTATAAACTTTTGTTAAAATCTCAATTAAAAAGAACATAAAGATCACAAGTATGAGGGGGGAAAAATAGGTACATTGAGCTATCTGCGCTCAGACAAGTCTACAGTTCTAAACCACGGACAAACCTGTCAGTTGTAAACACTCCCGGAGCGGGGGGTCCCTGTCTGATTGACCAGGGCTGTGTGACTTGGTACATTCCCATCCTAGAACCTGGCGGGCATTGATAATGCTCATGTTCAGTGCCAGCCTGACCTGGCAGTGAGCCCACGGCCTTTGGATCATGATCAGAGCTGATGGAGCATCTCAAGGGGCCCAGGAGTGAGGAGGAGACTTGGCTGGAGCCCACTGACCCGACCTCCATCAGGCCCGCTTCCCCGTGTGTGGTGGGGAGGTGTGTTTGTGGAGGAGGCAGGCATGTATTGCATAACAGCAATTAGCCTGTTTACCCCTTGAAGGGTGACCCTGTCCTGTGACTCCATCTCAGAGCTCGCTGAGTTTCTTGACCATGAAGTTGCCGTGACTGCTTCCCTATGTTCAGCTGGGCTCCTGGGGAAACAGAGGCAGAGATTTCCTACGAGGCTCCCAGAAGGGCTCTTGCACAGCACCTGTGAGGGCAGCAGCCTTGAGTGGAGGCAAGCTTGACCCCAGATGCAGCTCCAGCAAAGCCTGGCAAGTCTACGGAAAGTTTTAAGGAGCTTTAATAGTGTAGTTCATATCATGCCAAAATCTCCAGCAGGATGATTGGGGATTCGGATCCAGCAGCTCCACAGTGGACAGATGGACAGTCCTCTCCCATTAAGATTATGACCTTGGAACCCCAATGGAGGATCTCTGTATTTCAGGTTTGGGTCTACCAGGAGCTGGAAACTCAATGGAAGGTCTATATATATATATATTAGAATTGACCTGATGGCATTGAGTCTGGGTCTACCAGGAGCTGGAAACTCAATGGACGGTCTATATATATATATATATATTAGAATTGACCTGATGGTATTGAGTTTGGGTCTACCAGGAGCTAGAAACCCAGTAGAAGGTCTCTATATATTAGAATTGACCTGATGGTATTGAGTTTGGGTCTACCAGGAGCTAGAAACCCAGTAGAAGGTCTCTATATATTAGAATTGACCTGATGGCGTTGAGTTTGGGTCTACCAGGAGCTGGAAACCCAGTGGAAGGTCTCTATATATTAGAATTGACCTGATGGCATTGAGTTTGGGTCTACCAGGAGCTGGAAACTCAATGGAAGGTCTATATATATATATTAGAATTGACCTGATGGCAGTGGGTTTGGGTCTACCAGGAGCTGGAAACCCAGTGGAAGGTCTCTATGTATTAGAATTGACCTGATGGCAGTGGGTTTGGGTCTACCAGGAGCTGTCCAGCTGCGATGGATATAGGGGGGCAGGCTGTTATACTCTGGCATCCACCATTATCAGGTGTGGGCTGCCCTGAGAATGGATTGTAGTCTCTCCGTTCGGCTCGGGGCAGCTGTGGCAAGTGAGCTACCAGGAGCTGAGACTTGTCCATCTTCTGGCTGACAAAGGGGGTCAGGAGGAAAAGGAGAACTTTACTAACTTCCCTCCTTTTTCACTTGGCTTCGGGAATTGAACAGCTCAGGTCACCTTGATACTAAGGCAGTAGAGATGGGGAAGTGTATTGCCCTAAGTTTTCCTGGTAAAAAATCTCTTTGGTGGTATTTTTACTGCAGGCCACATCCAGCAAGGAAATGACACTGTTGTTGTCCACCTGACCCTCCTCCCCCGATTGTTTGATCTATGTGGCCTCATAATGAGCCCCCTGTCCTTGGAGTGCGACCAGGAAAAGTATTCATTTACCTTCACTAGTGAGGATGGTAATGGCCCCTTTATCCAGGGACCTCTAAAAATGCACAAGTAGATTCCAAGTCCTGGCAGCCCTCTGTGGGGTTTCGGATGTGGTCAGTTTTGATGGATACAGACTGTACACTTTAGCAGAACGGCTAGTGGACTCATTCATAACTGTCAGCCTTTCAGTTAGCAGCCCAATACGTGAACACTCGGAACGAACAATGTTGCCTAAACAAACTATGGACGGTTGACGGGCCGGTCTCAGTGCAGGAGAGAGTTCGTCCCTCTAAAGAGAATGAGTCTTGTCCCTGCACAGGCCTTGCTTATGGTCAGTCATTGGAGATTCACATCCTGGAAGAGTTCAGGAGAATCTTTAGGGAACTTTTACCCCTTCAAGGAGGATGGGAGGGAAGGGCCCCATTATTCCAACTGTGTGTACCCCCTGTCTCTCACACCTGGGCTGTAGACATTCCAACAGGTGGAGGTGGGGGGGCTGCATCTAGGGTACCAGGACAGAGATAGAGACATGAACTGGGTCTTGAAAATGTGTGAGAAAAGGCTTGCTGTGAGGTTGTCACCTGTCCTTGAATCCCTTTCTGTCCTCATCCTACCACTTGAGGCCCCAGGATGATCGATGAGTGCTGGAGTGTAAGGGAGAAGTGGAAATATTAGAGCTGCCCCGCTTTTTCAGTCTTTTAGAATTCTCACTGTTTTTCTCTGTAATCGCCTGATCAAACTGTGTTATAAGTAATTCCTTTAGGGATAAGTGATGGAAATTTTGCATGTTTGTGTCCTTGTGCCTTCAGATAATCATCTCAAGCACTAAGATAATGAATGAGAAACTTCAACGTAATTATGTAAAAGTATGATTTCTGACAATTAACAATCTGGAATGAGATCTGCATACAAAGTTAACTGAGGGGAGTCAGGGAGAAAAAAATGTTTATCGATGAATGAATGAAAATTAAAAAAGGAAAAAAATAACATTTAAAAAATATAATTTCTGAAGTAGAACTAATAGAAAATATGTAAAAAGAAATTATATGAAAATGTGTTTAGCTTTGACTGATAACCTCAATATATATCTTAATTTATTCCACTAAAATTCATATTATGTAGGCATGAATAAAATGATATCTTTCAAAATTACATCTTTATAGATTTATATCACAGAATTAAATCTTTCAGAATTGTTTGGTAGAGTACTAATTTTACTTTGCTCCTACGTTATTTACACTATTCTTATCTTCCCCCGTAATAGAACAGACATTCTCCTCACACATACTGGAACCAATAGAAGAACTTTCAGAGGAAGAAAAAGGTAACCGAACTTGATCAGGGTTGACGTGTATTAAGTTTAATTTTGTGCCAGAGGCTAAGCCTGGGAAATATGAACCAGGGATTTTTTTTTTTAATTTTTGCTTTTTAATCACACTGTATCGAAATTAGGTAAGACATTTAGATGAGGATTAGTTTCGACCTGTATTATACAGTTACCCTCAACAAGACAGATTGACACAGTGACTGTAGCAACGAGGCTGTTTGTTGGAGATGGTGAGGTTGACTCAGAGTAGAGGAGGGTCCAGAGCTGGTTGTCACAGGGTCAGCACACAGCAACATGTATCACGTGCACAGCTTTGCGTTCAAGCCTGACAAGGCCAGAATGGTAATTTTTTTTTTCATACTCCGAAATTAATGAGGTTCATTTAGAAATGATTTATAGTTACAAAGAATGCCTGATGTCCACCTACTGAATGTGGAATCTTAATGGGGAAAATTATATCTATTTGAGCTGCTACAGATCTTGGAAAAGAATTACAATGATTATCACTTAATTACCTTTATTCTGGTAATCTTTAGAATTGCCCTCTATCAATTTTTTAAATTTATGAGAATGTTTTTAAAAAATCCTAAGGAGGTGTTTTCTAATGCCAACAATGTATATCTGGGGGGGGAGGAATCCGTTTGAATCAGTTTATTGTAATGCTCTCCTTATTCATACTAAAGTTTTATATCTTAAGTCTGCTTCAGGAGAAAGCAATTTTTTTATATTTATATAGGGTCAAAATCTGTCAGGAAGAACAGTAAAATTATATATTAAAATATGTAAATTCTTAATATTTTGTTCCATGTTCTCTAGACTTTTGGAAAGAAATCTTTTCATGAGACAACAAGTTGAAAATTGACTAAATCAGACATATTTATAATGTCTACAGAAGGGTACTGAATGTACCCTGGACTGCCAGGAAAACAAACAGATTTATCTTGGAGAGGATTAAACCAAGCTACTCCTTGGAGGCAAGGATTCTGGGGCTTCGTCTGACATACTTTGGACATGTTGCCAGGAGGGACGGGTCCTTGGAGAAGGGACATCATGCTTGGGAGGGTTGAGGGACAACGCAGGCGGGGAAGACCCTCTATGAGATGGATTGATTCGGTGACTGGGGTAATCGGGATGGGTGTGTCAGAGGCAGTGCGGTTGGCGCAGGATAGAGCAGGGTTTAGGGCTGTTGTGCATAGGGTCGCTATGAGTCGGAAACGACTCGACGGCACATAACAACAACAACAACAACACACACTATTCTAAGTTTCAAGTCTTGGTCTTACTGTATTAATAATCATCAATGCCTTTTTGATGTTTTAAAATATTTTAAGTGGATTAAAAACACTTTAATTAAATGTTGTTTTTTAAAATTTGATGTTTAAAATGTTTTTAATGATTATTCTTTTAAGTAATAGTTCCATTTCTTTTGCTGCCACTTAGGTTTGTAGTTTGTCTTGATTTACAGTGTTTTTATCAGACTTTTTACGTAGTTTAAGATTTCCTTTCTTCCTGTCTATGTTGTTGTTTATAGTTGCCACCAATTTTGCGCAGTATTTAAATCATGTCATTTCTTCTACTCTTCTTTGTTATTCCTGTTTTAATCTTTAAAAGTCTGTTTCTTTCTGAAGCAGGAGTGAATATTAGAATACATTAAAGGGTGGTAAAACCGTACGCAGTTGTTGATGGGAATGTAAAGGCATTTAGATGAACACTGCTTCAAAAGGTCCTTGCTGAGTCCTTGTATAAGGTTTCTCTTGTTCCCTTGTCAGAGGACTGAGGAGCAGGGTGAGTCTTTAGCAAACACTTAGAGCAATCATAAAAGATGACCCAGGCCCAGACCTCAAGAGGGCTGCCTGGGGGCCAACTCTGGGTCTTTTCCACGGAAGTGATTTGTTTAAGCTGTCCACTGTTGGCAAGTATTTTATGATCAGTCGCCAATATTTAAGAATCAAACTATTTCATATGCACATCTAAGTATTTTTACTTCTCTTGAGAAACTTGAAGTTCTGTCCACAGTCAACACCTCCAGCAAATCTGAGTAGCAATCACCTACTGAGGAAGTGTTTGCATTTTTTTTAAAAGAGAACTGAAAAACAAATTCATTTTTTAAAAATTATTTTTATTTTCTTTTCTACTAGTTTACTTACAAAATTTGAATACAAATTCGAATCAATTCTTTCCATTTCCCTCACTTCCCCCATGAAATTGTACAGCCCGGTTCCCTTTACCCCCACATCCCTCTGCTTCCAGCCTCTCCCATCCCTCTTGGATCCTTATCCTCATTCTACAATAACGGTTTTATACAGTATTTATCCTTGTGGGACTGAGTTAGTTCACTCAGAATGATGCCTTCAGAAGTGTTTGCTTCTTGAACGGCACTTCTGCTCCTCAGTACTCACTTGCCCATCCTTGTTTGTGAATCCCCACAAGTAAAGTGAAACAGTGCTCAGAAATGATGCTGGCTTATTGATGACACAGCGAACACAACTTACTCTTACCTGAGGTTTGCATACTGCCATCTGTTTGCTTGCAACTGATGTATGTTCTCTTACATGTCCAAAATATAAACTCTTGAGCAATCTGTGTCATGTGTCAGGAGGTTCATAGAAAGTTCACCTCATTTTAAAAGTGGAACCTCAGGTCACAGCGTTCACACTCATCCCACCAAGGTTCAAAAAAAGCCTACTGATTTGCCCACTCGTCCCTTCTCTGTCAGCCCCCAGTTTCCCCTTCTGCATCACCGTGACTGAGCTGCTTTTAGAGTGTGACCTGCACTGCGAGAGATCTGAGTGAACTTGGCATCGTTTCCTGCTGACAGAATGCTGCATTCTCCCCTGTCTATCGAGGGCTCCTCTACCCCTTCTTTTCACTTTAAATCTTTTGTGTGACCTCCCTTCCACTAGCTATGCCTCTGTCTTAGTACCTTAATAAAGCTTTTCACTTGCTTTGTGGGGGAAAAAAAACCCAAACTAAACCAGCAAACAACAACAAAAAAAAGCCCCACTATGATTCTTTACAAGAAAGTAACTTATGGCTATTTCTGTGTATTGCTTTCTGTACGGTTTTGGGGTTTTTTTCCCCATTATTTTTATTTTATGTTGGGTTGCATATGAAATTTGTATACATTGTGTTTCACCCGTTCCTCTATTCACATTGTATTTCATACATTTCTATATATTGTATTCTATAAAGTTAATCACTGTTGATCCATGTCCAACAGTACCACCAACCTCTGTGACTTTGGGATTTTCTCTCTCTCCTGCCCACTTCCCCCTATAAACTTTTGTACACATCTTACTCGTAATCCTTCTATTTTTACAATAATGATCTTCTGCAGTATTTGTCCTTATGAAACTAAGTTAATTCACTCAGCATAATGCTCTCCAGTATTATATGTTGTTGTTGTTGTTGCTTGCCTTTGAGTCGAGCACGACTCATAGCGACCCTATGAACAAAAAGGCTTGAAACACCTCTGCAACTCTCAGTGTTTATCAAAGTTCGTAGAGTTTCCGGAGTCATGTTGTTTAAGAAGAGGATACCACTCCTGCTTCCAAGCCTGTCATAGTATATTATTGTTGTTATGTGCCACTGAGTCACCTGTGATGATATAGCAGCTCTGAACCCTTCCCTGTCCTGAGCCAGTCTCACTAATTTTGACACACCAACCCTCATTGCTCCAATTACTGTATCCATCCATCTCATCCAGGGTCTTCCTCTCCTCTGCTGTCTGTCCACCCTTTGAAGAATGATGTCCTTCCTCAAGGACCAATTTCTCCTGGCCACATGCCCAAAGTAAGTAAGACAGAGCTTCAAAATCTTAGCCTCCAAGGAGAGACTTGGTTTCACCCTCTCCAAGACAGACCTGTTTGTTTTCTTGGAAGTCCCTGGTATGTTCAAGATTCTTCTCCAGCACCACAACTCAAAGGCATCTATTTTTCTTCTGTCATCCTTAGTCATTGTCCAACTCTCTGAAACATAACAAGTAATTGAGAAAACCATGGCCTGGATTAGGTGCACCTTAGTATCTAGACTGACATCGTTGCTCTATAGCACTCTGGAGAGATCCATGACAGCAGATATTCCCAGTGTAGTTCGTCTTTTGATTTTCTGACTGCTGGTGTTAAGAGCATTGATTGTGGATCCGAGCAACCTGTAATTGCTAACAACTTCAATCTCTTCTCCATTTACTATGGTGCTGCCAATTGGCCCAGTGTTGAGAATCTTTGACTTCTTAATGCTGAGCTTCAATCCATATTGAAGACTACAGTCCTTGACCTTTTGCAGCAAGTGCTTCAGGTCTTCTTCAGTTTCTGTAAGCAAGGCTGTGTCATTTGCATATCGTAAGTTGTTAATGAGTCTTCCTCCAATCTTGATTCCACATTCCTCCTCAATAATCCCTGCTTCCCAAATGATCTGTTATACATTTATTTTTCAAAATTGTTGATCCTAAGTGTTGCATACTATTTCATCTTGTGAATGTTCCACAGTTTCTCAGTTTGTTGATGGATATTTGGGCTGTTTCCATTTTCTTGCTATTATGCATAACACTGCTATGAACATTGATGTACAAATCTCTATTTGTATCCCAGTTCTCTCTACATCCTCTACAACATGTATTGCTTGCTATCCTAACTTTGCCATTGCTACTGGGCTAAGATGGTATCTCATTGTGGTTTCGTTTTGCATCTTTTGTATTGCCAGTGATTTTGTGCATTTCTTCATGTGTCTTATTGGCTATTCAAATGTCTTCCTCTGTGAAAAGTCTTTTTATGTCTTTGGCCCATTTTGTAGTTGGGTTATCAGACATTTGCTTGTGTGCTTACTTTTTAAACTAATTTTTATAGGGTTATATACCCGATATTGCTGTTGAATGGGGGATATTAGCATGTGAGGCCAAAACACATCCTTGTCATTGTTGTGTACCGTCGAGTCAGAACTGACCTCGAGCTGACCCTCTGGAGGGTTTTCAGAGACAGGTCATCGCACAGGAGGAGATTGCCCATCTTTATCCCAGAGACCAGCTGGTGGCCCCAAACCACGTGCCTTCAGGATTGCGGTGCAGCTTCTTGCCACTAGGCCACCAGAGCTCAGAAGGACTGTTGTATATTTGAAAACTTGAAGTGTGAGGAACTTGCTTCTGGTCATTGAGGGTGATTATTGGCAGAGCCAGAACAAAATCCAGGTTTTCTGATTCTCATGTTTTAATGCAAAGAAGAAAGAATGGAAAGCTGAATTGGCTTGTAGGACTAGCCCAGTGGACTTGGGCAAGTGTCTTCACTTCTCTTGCTTTAATGTTCTTATGTGAAAAGGGAGGTTGATTACTCACTGATAAAGTTCTTTCCTATGGAGAAATAATTTTATCATCCTCACTGCTTAATTCACCCTCCAGCTGTTTGCCTGTCTTAACTTCTGTACTGTCTGGCTGATATGTCAATCACATGTGTAGGTTCATGGGCGTTAGCATGACCATTCATCACTGGGATATACATCGTAAGGTTTAATGAGAAGAATTGTTGACCTCTAGGAATAGGAAGCTCTGGTGGCATAGTCCGTAGAGAGTTGCACTCCTACCCAAGAGGGTACAGCTCTCTGCTGGTTCAAATCCCCCAGCGACTCCAGGTGCATAATTCACAGCCTCAGAAAACTCACTGGCGAGTCGGTTCTGATGAGTCAGTTCTGACTTGACGGCGGTGAATTATTTGGTGAATTATTCTGGTGAACAATATCTGCTTTAACTCAAATCTTCAGGTCTGGTTCGTTTTCAAGTTCTTTCCCCCTGGTCCACTCTACAGCTTCTCTTTCTCTTAAACACTCAAAATGACAGACAGAATTTAATGGTATGTAAATTATTCTTCAATAAAATTGTTCAAACAAAAGAACATACTGAATAGCTGTTAGACATTCAGCATGAATATTGAGAATATAAATTTTAAGATTATCTCCATTTTTTAATTGTATAGAATTTTATAATTGTAATTTAAAGAATGGATACCTTTGGGTTGTGGTGCTGGAGAAGAGCATTGAACATACCGTGGACCTTCAAGAGAACAAATATGTCTCTCCTGGAGAGGATGAAACCAGATTGCGCCTTGGAGGGAAGAATTTTGAAACTCTGTCTCATATACTTAGGGCATGTCGCCAGGAGGGGGCAGTCCCTGGAGAAGGACTTTATGATGCTTGGAAGGGTAGAGGGTCAGTGCAGAAGAGGAAGACCATGGGTGAGATAGATTGGCCCAGTGACTGTGGCACCTGGGGTCAGTGTCATGGTGAGGCTGGTTCAGGATAGGACAAGGTTCAGAGCCATTGTCACTGGATTGCTAAGAGTTGGATTCAGTTTGGTGGCACATCATCATCATAATAATATTTAGAAAAACATATCCATGGAGGATTTATTTTTTTTCTTTAGTGTGCTAACACTAGCGATAGTTTTCCTTTCTGTAAAAATTCTTAATCAACAGAAATATTGTTGAAATGGTATTTAGAAACCATTTTCAAAGGCACTTTAAGATCTTCCGCACATCTGAAGATGCCATGAGATGGATAAGAGAAGCATAGAGTCCCTCGGGCCACCGTGACGGCTGTCTCAGGGAAGGCTGTGGATGTGACTCTTGTTGGGTGGAATACCCCGTCCAGAGCCTGGACTCCCGAAGTCTACTCTCGTCACCTTCCGGTCTGAATTTACACAGCCTCTTACTGTCTGAACTCTTGCTCGTTGTTGTCAGGGGTCCTTCCAGCTCACGGTGACCCCGGGGGCTGTGTAAGGAATGAACTGCCCCGTCCTGCACCCTCTTCACAATTGTTCCCGTGTTTGCCGCCCGTTGCTGCCGACACTGCGTCAGTCCATCTCATTGAGGGTCTTCCTCTTTCTCTGCCTTCAGCTCTACCAAGCCTGATGGCCTTCTTCAGGGCATCCTGCCTGGGCCCTCCTGATAGAATTTCCTAAGTATGTAAGACAAAACCCTACCCACCCTCACTTCTATTGAGTGCTCTGGTGGCTCTTAAAGCACGTTTGTTTGTATTTTTGGCAGTCTGTGGTATAGTTAATAGCTTGATTCAGTTGCACCAATTCTTCATTACCTTCCTCATACATTTGTCAGCATTCACATACCTATGAGACAATTGAAAACACCGCACCCTGAATCAGAACCACAGTCCTCAACGCAAAATCTTTATCTTTTCACACTTCACAGAGGTCCTTGCAATAGATGTGTCTAATGCAGCCATCATTTGATGTCTTGACTGCTGCTTGCAAGGGGTCTGTTAACTGGGTGTTACTACTTCTTGGCCCAGGATGCTCTTGTAGCCTGGTGGTAAGAAGCTGCGCTGCAGTCCCAAAGGCACAAAGTTTGAATCCACCAGCTACTTCATGGGAAAAGGATGGGCAATCTCCTCACGTGCGATTTATAGCGGGTCTCTGAAAACACACTGGAGGGTCAGCTGTGGGTCAGTTCTGGATTGGATGACACACAGGTGTAACAACAACATCAACTTGTTGGCCCAGTTGTGAGACTTTTTTTGTTGAGGTTTAATCTACACTGAAAGTTGTAGCCTTGGTCCCTTTGCAAAAAGACCTAATTTTTCAAATGTCTTGAAACCACTCATCCTCTCTATACTTTGTTAGAACACGTTTGAGGTTTTTTTAAAATTATGGAATAAAAGAGGAATATGGAAGGAAAGTGAGGAAGCTATGGCTTGTAATCTTTTTTTGTGTTTTTAAATATGTTGTTGTTAAGTGCCATCAAGTTGCCTGCGACTCAAAGATAACCTATGTACAACAGCCCGAAACCTGCTCTATCTTGTGCCAATCTTACTGTCTCTGACACACCATTATCCCACTCACTGAATCAGTCCATCTCATCGAGGGTCTTTTTCTCCTGCGCTGTCCCTCCACCCTTCCAAGCATGACATCCTTCTCCAAAGGACTGCTCCCTCCTTGCAACATGTCCAAAGTATGTCAGACAAAGCTTCAGAATCCTTGCCTCCATGGAGCAGCCTGGCTTCACCCTCTCCAGGACGAACCTTTTTGTTCTCTTAGAAGCCCATGGTGTATTCAACACTCTTCTCCAGCACCACAGCGCAAAGGCATCAATTCTCCTTCTGTCATCCCTAGTGATTATCCAGCTTTCTGATGCACAGCAAGTGAATTGTGAGGACCATGGTCTGGACCAGGTGCATCTTCATTTCCACTCTGTCCGGTCACCTTTCTTTGGAACGGTAACAAATATAGCTCTCTTTCAGTCAGTTGGCCAGGTGGTTGTCCTCCAGAATTCTTGGCATAACTTGGTGAGCACATCCAGGGCAGCATATGGTTGTTGAAATCTGTCAATTGGTATACTATTAATTCCCGGGGCCTTGTTTTTTGCCAATTTTTTCAGAGCAGCTTGAACTTTTTCCTTCATCACCACATGAAATTCTTTTGTGTCCACCAATTCCTTTTTGTATAGTGACACCGTATATTCCTTCCATTTTCTTTTAATAATTTGTGGGTCATTTCACATTCTACCGAAGACATCCTTAAGTATTGCCACTCAAGCCTTGAATTTCCTCTTCAGTTCCTTCAACTTAAGAAATGGTGAGCGAGTTCAGCCCCTTTGATTTTCTGACTCCAGCTCTGCACATTTCATTATAATACTTTACTTGGTCTTACCGCACAGCCCTTTGAAATCTCCTGTTCAGCTCCTTAATATCTTGATTTCTTCCCTTTGCTTTGGCTTCTTGGCAATAATATCTTGTAATATTCAGAGTCTCTTCTCACATCCATCTTCCTCCTTTGTCTTTATAGTAACTTTTTGCACTCTTCATGTATGATATTCTTTATTTTCTCCCACAACGCGTCTGGTCTATGCTCATTAGTGCTCAAGTTCAAGTGATGTTTTCAAATACAGATTGTTTTATTTTATCATTTTTGTGTGTGTACCGTCAAATTGAATCTGACTGTTATAGGAGGAGATTGTCCCTCCTGCTCCAGCAGAGCATCTGGTGGATTCGAACCGTGCGCTTCTGGGATTCCAGTGTAGCTTTCTGCTACTAGGACACCAGAGCTCTTCAAATATAGATTATTTTTTAAAATGCATACTTTTACTAGAACTTTTTTTGTTTTTCTTTCTTAATTTTGGTAAAATATTTTAAAGGAGTAGAAAATTTGGTTTCTGATAAATGAATTATAGGAAATTTTTCAATTGTATGCAATAAACTGGATTTACTATGAAAAATAAATTTTAAATTATATGAAAGAATACTAATAGGATTTAAGAGAGATGAATTCTTCAGGAAATAGTGAAATCTATTTGTAATAATTTAACCTTCATATAACTTCTTTCCATTATGCTTATATAAATGCATATATTTATTGCATTGCTTATCTAATTCTAAGTCAGTAAGATGAAAAAGAGCCAGTAATGGCAAACACTGAAGCTGACATAAGTGTTTAAAAAAGCTATTGTACTTAACCACTCCATATTGTATTGAATGAGTAAATAGCCCCAAGCTTAAGGCCATTACAGATGCCTATTAGTATTTGGGCTTGTTGCAAGGGGGGACTGTCCTTGGAGAAGGACATCACGTTTGGCAGAGTGGAGGGATGGCACAGAAGAGGAAGACCCTCAATGAGATGGATCGATTCTGTGATTAGGGTGGTGGGAGTGAGTGTGTTTGAGACAGCGAGGTTGGCTCAGAATAGAGCAGGGTTTAGGGCTCTTGTACATAGGGTCGCAGGTGACTTGATGGCACACAACAACATTAGTATTTAAGTGTTCTACACAACATTAGTATTTATGTATTCTATCTTACAATTTTTGGAAGCAATCAACAACAGTCTTACCATTACTGTTTAGAGACTTATTATATATTTCTTAGAATTCATCTTTAGCCTGCCTCCACCTCTTATTTCAGGAAGGGAAACTGAGCAGAAGTCAAACAGTAAGAAGTTCCCTTTAAGGAAGACCTTGAGGAATAACCCTGCCCTCACTAAGGAGATCCGGACCGTGCTGGAGCAGAGTTTGGTGGAGAAATTGGAAACCTTGGGGATTAATGCAGTAAGTTGATGTTTCGGAGGCTTGCAAATTTTGTTTTAGGGGAAAAAGGCCCATCTATTCTTGTCCCATTTGGAGACCAGCAGTTTATGGAACAAACACTGTGTTTGTCATGAAAGATGATATATTTATCATTCATGAGGATAAGACTCGCTGTGCGCCAGGCACCTTCCTAAGAGCCTTTACAAATATTAACTCACTTAAAACTCAGAATCAATCTTGAGATTTTGAGTGAGAGCCCCATCTACAGTTGATGGAAAGGTTTGAGTGGCTCTTTAAAGATCTCACAGTGGGTAGTGAAGGACCCAGCATTTGTGCCCACATAGTTGAGATGCTGTCCATGTTGGCATCTTTATCAGGAACTGCATTTCATGTTGTGCCTTGGATTGAATCCTTTCAGTGAATCAGATTCCACAGAGATTCTCTGATTCTCACGTATTTTTATTTAGAGAAATACAGAGCATAGCATTTCCTGTCTCAGCAGTGCTCACAGCGACAGCTCGGCAACGTACCTGCACTTTTGTATTGAGGTCTTGTCACCTGGTCCGTTGGAGTAGTTACTCCCAGGATGTCTCGTGACTGTTTCTCCTCCACTTTCCCACGAGGTGCCCCCAGCCCGTTGCTGTCTGTCGGCCCTGCCTCCCCTGCTCTGTGTTACCTGGTCCTCCTAAGCACATCTTGGGCTGTCGTTTTTATGGAAGCATCCCAAGCGTTTCTTCTATAGTGTTGTCTGGATTGAAACTAAAAACCTGTATGTTAGTTGTTGTTGTTGTTGTGTGCCTTTGAGTCAAAACCAACTCATAGCTGACCCTCCAGTGGGTTTTCAGAAGCAGTAAATTGTACAGGAGGAGCTTACCCACCCTTCTCCTGTAGCTGGTGGATTTGAACAAGGTGCCTTTAGGATTGGAGTACAGCTTCTTACCATTAGGTCACCAGGTCTCCCTTTTAAGTTAAGCAGATGAGTACAAACTGTGTCATCCAGGGGCAAGGTGCCTGGACCCATCTGGAAAAACCTCATTGTTTATGCTTAATGGATCCAACCCATCCTTCTGGCCCCCACTATAGCCTTCCCTGAGACCTCTAACCACTGCAGGCTCCTGTAGCCCCTCCCTGGGCCTCCTCTCGCCCCTGCGGGACTCACTCGGTCCTTTGCACACACGGCCGTGCATCATTGGCTAACGGTCCATACATGGTCGTTCACATGCCCTGTATGCCCCACTCGCCATGGGCTCCTTTCAGCTTACACAGTGTCACATGCTAGGGACTTCTTATGTGCAGCTGGAGCTCACGAAGGATGCACTGAAAGGCTTGCAGTTAGCCCTGACACATGCCCATAAAATAAAACACCTTCCCAGCCAGACGGATGAAGGTGACACTTTACTTTTTCAGGACGATCACGGTATTCCAAGCGACCAGTTTATCAGGGTGCTGAGAACGGTGGAATCGGCAAGACATGAGAGAGAAAAGCAGATGCCTGACATTCAGCAGATTCGCGAGTCCCTGGAGCACAAGGTCCACTCTCAAGCTCAGGAGAGGTATTTACGCTCTTCAGGTGAGCCTGCTGCCCCCAGCATGTGTGTTCCCTCTCTCCTGGCAAGAGTGGGAGTCAGGAAATCCAAAGTTTCTGTAAGCTTTCATTAAGATTAATTAAAAAAAAGAGAGTGGGAGTCAGCAGCCTCATTTTCAAATTTTAAAATGATTTCCAGTGGGGGAAATGTTGCATTGGCAACATTTGAATGTTAACATTTGAATTCTAAAATACAGGTATGTGCCAAAAACCTGTTTTCAAAGATATTTATGGATTTGGATATTAAACAGTTAATTGACATATACCTGTATAAGCTCTGGTTGTTGTTGTTCACAGCTTCAGTTTGCTTGGCTCCACGGTCAACACTCTTGGCACCAGCAGCCAGGAAATTAAAAGATGTATTGAGATGGGAAAGTCTGTTGTTAGAGACCTCTCCAAAGTACTAAAGAGCAATGGTGTCTCTCTGGAGACTAAGGTGCGCCTGATACAGGCCATGGTCTTTGCAATCACTTGTTATGCATCAGAGAGTTGACTAGGGAGTATAGAAGGAGAATTGATGCCTTTGAGCTGTGGTGTTGGAGAAGAGTATTGAGGGTACCATGGACTGCCAAGAAAACAAACAGATTCATCCTGGAGAGTGTTAAACCAGGCTACTTCTTGGAGGCAAGGATTCTGGGGCTTCATCTGACATACTTTGGACGTGTTGTAAGGAGAGACAGGTCCTTGGAGAGGGACATCATGCTTGGTAGGGTGGAGGGACAGCGCAGGATGGGAAGACCCTCTATGAGGTGGATTGATTCAGTGACTGGGATAATAGGGATGGGAGTGTCAGAGGCAGTGCGATTGGCACAGGATAGAGCAGGGTTTAGGGCTGTTGTCCATAGGGTTGCTGTGAATCGCAAACGTCTCGACGGCACATAACAACAACAATAACAGTATGTTTTGTGAATCAAGATGCTGCTTGATTTGGATGTTGGTGGACACCATGTTAAAGCCTTGTAGGAGGCCACTGGTAGTTCTCTCTGCTGCTGTTGCTGCTGCTGCCGCCGGAGGCTGAAAGGACAGGTGGAGGCTGGAAGGACAGGCGGGCAGCAGGCACAGCTGAGGGGGCTGCCGTGGGAGCAGGGCAGCAGCCCTTGCCCCCCACCCTGCCACACAAACCCCAGAGCTCGTGTCCAAACCAATGTGCTCTGCCTCCATCCAGTCATGGTCCAGTGCTGTGGGCTCTGGGTTTGAGATCTTTAAAGCCATTAATCCACGGCGACCCTGCCTCCATCCGGTTTCTGAGGCTGAAAATCTTCACAGGAGACAACCACCCATCTTCCTCCTGCAGAGTAACGGGGGTATTTGAACTGCTGGCCTTTTCAGTGAGCTTCTACATGCACTGCACACCAGAGCTCTTTTTAAAACTCTTGAGGGGGAAATCATAAGCAAATAGAGAGCTGCTTTCCAAAAATAAAACCTGATGAGACCATAGACTTGTCCAGAGCTGGTTGTTGCACAAACGGATATTATGAACAGTGAAGTGGCCTATATATATGTTAGGCCTTGATTTTTTTTTTTTTATAAAAGCTGGTAGTCTAGACTCTAAACTTTACAGACTTCTGTTTCTTTGGTGGTGAAGCCAGTAATACACAATTTACTTTTGCTTTTCACTCATGATCAGAAAGGCTGGGGAGGCTCACGCGCAGTGCTTTTCTTTCAGATAATCCTGGTGTTTTTCAAATGGACTATCTCTCATCGGTAGAAATCCCCAAATCGGTGCAGGTCCCTCGGAAAAGCAAGCATTTAGTTAGACAAAAACCTGTTTTCACTGATAACACATCAACTCCCAAGTGAGTATTTTTAATCCTAAAATTCTTCTACTGCTTGACCCAACAGCAATTAAACTCACAGTTCACACCATTCTCTTGTGGATACTGGGTGTTTTTTGAGGCTATGCAGATAACCAGTTCTATTAATGTAGAAATTTATGCCAAGTTATGTCATTCACTCAGTTGAAAAATATTTTTTCTGCTTCTTTTTAGAATTAGGAAAGTGACTATTGAAGATCAGCTCCCCAGAAAAGCTGCGCCTACTCCGTAAGTCATTGGGGGGAAGGTCATGTAATTAGCTCTTTTCACTAACACATTCCTTTCACAATAAATCAGCATCGGTGCTTCTTTTTCTTTTTAAATTTTATTATTTTTTGTAAGTGTACCGTCAATCAGATCTGACTATAAGAGGAGATTGCCCCTCCTTCTCCAGCAGAGCATCTGGTAGATTTGAACCGCATACTTCTGTGTGGCTTCTTGCCTCTAGGCCACCAGAACTCCGTTATTTTTCTTTTTAAAAAAAAATTTTTTTTTTTATTTTCTTGTGTTCCATCAAATTGGATCCGACTGGCACCGGAGATTACCCCTCCTTCTCCAGCATAGCATCTGGTGGACTCGAACCGCGTGACTTCAGCATTGCCGCACAGCTTCTTGCCACTAGGCCACCTGAGCTCCCTAGCATCTGTGGTTATTGTGGTTAACCAAAAGCTACGGTTATTAAACGCCATGCACATGTGATTTCTTACTTGCCATCGTGCTGTGGTGAGAGGCTGCTCCTTCCCTATCCGTTCCTGCTCAAGGCATTGCCATCTCCACCTGTGGCTTCCACCACCCCTGTGTCGTTTCTGTTGCCCGGCCACCAGTGTCAGTAATTTCAGTCAGCCTGTTTTAGTGAGTGATGTTGGGTTTTAAAGGCTGACTTGAAGATAATATGGCTTTACTCCAGATAATGCGTTTAGAGTTCTAAATCCTTGTGGAAGTTGGTAATGACCTCAGATCTTACTCTTGTGGGTTCTCTTGGAAAAACGGGAAATTTTAGCTCAGTCACTCATTGGATTATTCTATTAATTTTGTTGTTTACCTGCTTGGAGCCTCTGGTTTCTTTAGCTATTTTTTTTTTTTATAAAACAGCTTATTTTTGTGGGTAACGTCTACAGAGTGGTTGAGAATATAGTGCCTGACAGTTGGATACTCAGTAAATTGTATTATAGTTATTAACGTAAATAAATAAAATTAATTTTTTCACCATTAAATATCACCTTTTCAGCCTTTCTCTGGAGAGAGTGGTGTCATAAATGTTTATTCTTTGAGGCCTTGTAAGTGGAGAGAATATCGCTGATGAATCCTTCAGAAGTGCCTCTCGCGTTGGGATTTCCAGCTTGGGAACCTTGCGGGAGGGTTGCTGTGAGCAACCTGCTTGTCTCTGTGTGTTTTCCGATATCTCAGAAGAGCATCATTTCATGGACCAAAGTATAATAGAATCATCATTTCTTTAAAAGACTGCCACATTGCCTGGCATTTAAAGTTTTAGTAAATATTTACTAAATACATAGATGATAAAGGAGGCCTGTGGCACAGTGGTGAAAGCATTTCACTACCAAGTTAAAAGTCAGCAGTTCAAACCTACCAACAGGTCCGAGAGAGATGGATGGGACAGTCGGCTTCCCTGAATCCCTGTGGGGCAGGTCTGTCTAATGGGTCAGTGGTGTGAGTCAACATTGACTTGATGGCAGTAGGTTGGCTTGGGTTACTCCTGTCACTGTACATTTTAATTTTTATTGTTTTTAAATTTTATTTTATTATTTTTGTGTGTGTGTACCGTCAAATCAGATCTGACTAGTACAGGAGGAGATTGTCCCTCCTTTCCCTGGCAGAACATCTGGTGGATTTGAACCGTGAGCCTCTGGGATTGTAGTTGCAGCTCCTTGCCACTAGGCCACCAGAGCTCCCCTCACTGTAAGGACATTTTAAAATGAGGTGATAGTACAGATTCTACCTTAAAATCTTTTCTTTTTTAAAAAACAAACCTGCATTGGAAAAGTCTGCAGTCAGGAGCCTCACCAGTTTTTGGAGAGGCAATGGTAGCATTTTAAAGACTAAGGTTCATGTGATTCAGGCCATAGTCTGTTGAATCATTTGCTGTGCATCTGAGGGCTTGATAGAGAATAAGGATGAGGGGGAAAGAATTGGCACCTTTGAACTGTGGTTTTGGAGAAGAGTAAAGGAAAGCTCATGGATTTCCAGAAGAGCAAACAGGTATGTCTTAGAGAAGGTGCAGCCAGAGTGCTCTAGAGGCAAAGATCATCAGGCTTCGTCTCACGTACTTTGGGCATGTGGCTCGGAGAGGCTGTTCTTGGAAAGGGACATCATGCTTGGAAGGGTGGAGGGTCAGCAAAGGAGAGGAAAACTCAGCTGGTTGAGTGCGGTGACTGTTAGCAGTGGGCTGTCATATGTCAGAAATGATGAACATGGCACAGGATAGGACAGGGTTCAGATCTGTTGTTCATAGGGTCGGTATGAGTTATATTAAAATTGATGGCACCTAGCAACACCTTACAATTAAAAAAACCAAATAAAATGAGGATGTGTGTGTATATGTGTATATATGTATATGTGTGTATATATATATTTACACACACATCTAAATATATATAAGCCCTTTGTAACATGTAGAAGAAATCTAAGTTCTAGGTGATCCTATTTTAATAAGTAGAATTGTTTTCTTGAGAAAATGTTCTTTTTTTTTCTTTTTTAATTTATTTATTGTGTGTGTACCGTCAAATCAGATCTGACTGGTACAGGAGGGAAATTTTCCCTCCTTCTCCGGCAGAGTATCTGGTGGATTTGAACCATGGACCTCTGGGATTGCAGTACAGCTTCTTGCCACTAGGCCACCAGAGCTCCCTGAGAAAATGTTCTTTTGAGGAATATTTTTCTTAGGTGTATAAAAATCAAGACTTGCATTTGGATTCTGGGGTAAATGGTCCTTTCAGTGCGTATTGGTGAATATGCCGTGTGCTGACTCCAGAGTCCACCATGGTCTGATCTGTGGTCACACATCTTATGCTCTGTGGGGGTCATCTGGGAACATTACGAGTCATGATAGTTAAATACTGACGCATACAGAAACGGTGCTGTTTTGCTGTTGTCTATTCAGGACGCCCCCGTTTAGCTCCGAGGAGGAACTGGATGAGGACTACTTCATCCAGGCTTACACGTCGCCAGACCTACTTGCTGTGAAGTCGTCGAAGGTCACCAAGAACACCGCTGTCAAGGACTCCTCCAAGAGTGATACGGACTGGACCGAGGGCAGTGAAGCTGAGGATGTGGTCCTCCCTCCCAAGCCTACAGGTGATCTTTCTCCATTGGAGAAATTGTGGAAACTTTAATTAGGACGGTGGTTCTCAGCTCCGCATGGTTTTGCCCACTTGGCAGTGGCTGGGGACGTAGAATTGAGAGTCATCAGCTTAAGAGAGGAACTAAAGCTGTCATATGTGAGAAGGTGACGGCCACGGTGCTCCCCATGGATTTGGAATTAGGAAACTTGATGAAATAATTAGGTGTTATTGTTGTTTGATGTGTTATCAAGTTGACTGCAGTTCATTGCGACCTTGTGAACAGCTCTGGACCTTCCCTTGACCTGAGCCGTCCTCACCGTTTCTGACACTCCTGCTGCCCTCTTGCCACAATCTTGTGTCAGTCCATCTCACCCAGAGTCTTCCTCTCCTGTGCTGACCCTCCACCCTTCCAAGCATGCTGTCCTTCTCCAAGGCCTGCTCCCTCCTGACGACATGCACAAAGTATGAGAGATGAGGCTAAAATCCTTGCCTCCAGGGAGCAACCTGGTTTCACCCTCTCCAGGACAGAACTGCATGAAAAACTAAGAGTAAGAGAGTTTTAAGTTACAATTTAAAAATTGGATCTCCTGACAAGAAGGGCTTGCCCTGGCCCTCCACCCCTCAGAGACCAGGACTGGTTAAGATGTCTTCTGGAAAGGACCAAAAAGGCAGGGTTGTTTTGTTTTGTTTGTGTGTGTGTGTGTGTGTATGTGTGGGGGGGGTATGTGTATGCGTGGACAGTATGGTTTCTGTCCACCACCATTCAACTCCCATCATCCTGAGGAAGCAGCATAGCCAATATGTAAATGAGTGGCCTTTTCCTAGTAAAACATTAAAAGAACAGACAATGGGCCAGTTTTATCGCAGGGGCCCAAGTTTACCAGCCCTGGTCCAGATCAGTGCAGGATGTGCAGCTATAGCATGTCCTCCCCAAATGGTCCTGTGCTCACTTCTGGGACCCACCAATTCCTCCCCTGCATCAGGTCCCCCAAACCAAACTGCACTGCTGGTGTGCACGTGCTGGGGCTCGAGCGGTACCTGAGGGGCTTGTGTTTGGAAATATGTGCAGAAGTAGTGTATGCAGTTTCCACATGGAAGAAAGTTAAAGGCCTTATTGTTGTTATTCTTTTTTTTGCATATTTTCTTCCCTGCTCTCCAGCCCCTTCCCTGAATTTGCTTTTCTTTTAAGGTGGAGACCAGAACATATTTTATTTAACGGTTTATTAGTTTGCTTTACAGTTTTTAGGTATAGACCTCTGGTGTGAAGACTTTCACTTGAGCTGTTAACCTGGGCTTCACAAATGTGAGGGGGCCTGCCCTCCCTGACCTCCAGTCCCAGTGGTCCAAACGCAGGGGTAGAGACAGCTGCAGAGGTGATGGCAAAGAGAGCTCTAACCCCACCACCACGTCTGCCCGCAGTCGGCTCTGGTGATGGGACCTGAGCTCCTCATGAAGCCCGGTCACGCCACATGTGCTCTTGATCCCATCTCCTCGTTCTTTCTCAAGGAGACCGCTCGGAGAGTTCCACCCCTCTTCTGCATATCCACGTGCACCCCTCTCGTAGGTCTTGGCCGTCAGTGAATGAAAGCCTCTGGGCTTTCCCTTAAAACACCCCCCCCAAAGACTTCTAGTAACCACATATTCCCCTCCAAATGTTGTTGTTGTTGTTGTTGTTGTTGTTATGTGCCATCAAGTCGCCTGCGCCTTATAGTGACCCTATGTACAACAGCCCTAAACTCTGCTCTGTCCTGTGCCAATCGCACTGCCTTTGACACTCCCATCCCAATTACCCCAGTCACTGAATCAATCCACCTCATGGAGGGCCTTCCCCTCCTGCGCTGTCCCTCCACCCTCCCAAACTTGATGTCCCTCTCCAAGGACTGGTCTCTCCTTACAACATGTCCAAAGTATGTCAAACGAAGCCTCAGAATCCTTGCCTCCAAGGAACAGCCCTGTTTAACTCTCTCCAGGATGAACCTGTTTGTTTTCTTGGCAGTCCAGGGTACATTCAATACTCTTCTCCAGCACCACAGCTCAAAGGCATCAGTTCTCCTTCTGTTCTCCCCAGTCATTGTCCAACTCTCTGATGTATAACAAGTGATTGCGAAGACCATGGCCTGTATCAAGCGCACCATAGTCTTCAGAGACACACCATTGCTCTTCAGTACTTTGGAGAGGTCCCTAACAGCAGACTTTCCCATGGCAATGCGCCTTTTAATTTCCTGGCTGCTGGTGCCAAGACTGTTGACTATGGAGCCAAGCAAACTAAAGCTGTGTACAATCTCAATCTCTTCACCATCCATCCTGATGCTGCCAATTGGCCCAGTGTTGATATCACATCATTTTCTTTATACAAAGAGTTTTCTGTTTAAAAAAAAAAAAGGCGTTTTCTGTATAGATTGTATCTAGGACCTGTCCCTCATTCTCACATACACCCACTCCAGTCACACCGTTGCTTCTTCACACCCCGAGACCCTCCCTTGTCAAGGTTGCTTGGTGACACCATGTTGTTAAATCCAAGGTTCAAATCTCGACATGTTCGTGGCATTTGATAAAGTTGCTAATAGCCTTCTGGAGACATTGCACTTGCCTCTCATGACATCACACTGTCCTGGGTTGTACCTCACTCTCCTCAGCCTTGTCTGGTTTCCCCATGTGCCCCCAGCTCATACTGGTGGGGCATCACAGGGTTTAGTCTTTGGAGCTTTTACACTTATCAGTTTGTATCTTGGGCTTACTTATTGCCCATCCTCTGATGACCTCTAAATGTCCATCTCCAGTTCCAGCTTCTCCCTGAACCAACACCAGCTTCCAGCCAGAGAGACCTCTGCTGGGTGAACACGTAGTATCCAGCAGAGCCTTAACTTGTGCAAAACCAGACTCCTCCTCTCTTCTCTCAAGTCTGCTTCTTCCTGTCTGTCTGATCTCACCGAAGGCCAGGTGGTCCACTTGACCAGGTCCAGATCCTTGGGTCCATCCTTTGCACTCGTTTCTCACACCCTGCATCCACCTCTTCCACAGGGTCCTGTGGCCTAGTTTGTACAGATAATAAACAAAGGAAACGTTGTACACTAGATTTCCATGTGTTCTGTTCACTGCTGAAACTGTAGCACCAATTCCTGGCACATATTAGGGCACTTGGTAAATATTTACCGAATGAATGAATGCAGCAGAAAGAGAGTCACTGGTGAGTCATGTTCCTCCTGAAGCCAGGAGAGCACAGCAGTTAGGAACACATTTGGCTGTAAGTAGCAGAAGACCAAAAGGATCGTTACCTATAACAATCTCATCTCTCCTCTTTCATATAAGAAGATTCGGTGTAGAAGGTTCCAGGTCACGTGTTCACTCTGATAGCACATCAATACACGTCTTCTTACACCTTTCCACTGCCTTTAGCTGTATGTGTTGTTGTTAGGTGCTGGTCAAGTCGAGAACCCCTGGAAACCCTGTGAACATCTGATCTGAACCTTGTCCTGTCCCGTGCCGTCCTCACAACCTCAGATACACTCGAGCCCAGTGCTGAAGTCACTGTGTCAGTCCACCTGCTTGAAGGCCCTCCTCTCCTTCACTGTCCCTCCACTTTCCCAAGCACTATGTCCTCCTGCAAGGACTCTGCTAGCAACCTGCTCATAGTATGTGAATCAAAGCCTCGCCGTCCTTGCCTCCCAGGAGTGGTGGGTTTTAGCTGTATGTGGGGGACTGGGAAAGCAAGTGTTGAGCTTTCCTGCCTCCTGGTGCATGCTTAGGATGTCTGGTGGCTAATGAGAATAGAAGGAAGTTTGTGGGAGCTTCTAGGAAATGGACCATCTCCTCTCTCGACACAGGGAACAGCACTAATAACCACCTCTCTTTCTCTTTCTGGCTTGGCTGTTGATTTAATGCCTCACTCTGTGTTTGACCATCTCCTAACACTAAGGCAGTACACTCACGTATTAGAGGTTGTTGAAAGGTATAAGGAGCCCTGGATGTCACTGCTTCAGAACATGTCAGTTGGTTTTATTCCATTCATGCTTCACAATATTCAGAGTTTGCACAGCTTCAACTCTTTTTCAATACAGGCTGCAAACATTGTTTTAGAAATGAAGAATAGGAACAATTTTAAATACAAACCCTAACAGACTAATTTTTCTTTTCCTATAGGAACGGCCTTTAAAACGGGAACTGAAAGAGTTGACAAGGCCGTTTTAACTCAGAAAACTGTGAATAAACCAGTCGGTGAGGTCAGCGTTGGAGAGGCCTTCAAGAAAGAGTCACAGGAAGAGCTGAAGGTGACATTGCTGAGTGTCCCCGGATGAATCCAGCTTTTAACGAATGTGTCTTAGTAACTGTGTTTTTTTTACAGTGAAATCAAGGGCAAATCCAAACATGTAGTGAGGCAGAGGTTGAGATTTTTACCTTCCCATCCCCGCCCCCACCCCGATCAGTGAGACTGCATATCTATAGAGAGAGAATGTGACAGGTGTTCAGAATTGTGTCATGTGTATTGCCTGATGCTGCCAAGTCATAGGTCATTGATATAGAGAAGTCTATGACTGATTAGAACCAGGGGTTTCCAGAAACTTTCCCACATCCCTGGTGGCAGAGCAGGTGCTCTAAATGTTAGTGACTCCCAACCATGAAAAAGACTGGCAAGTCCATGCAGGCATCGGCACGGTGGGCTGTCGCGTGGGCTCGTCATGTTGGAGCCAAAGCAGCTCCGCGTGCAGGACTCAGTCGACTCCACGGTGAAGAGTCTGGAGAGAGAAAACACCCAGAAGATCCAGGGCCTCGTGTTCCAGCAGCGCCAGCTGCCGTGAGGAACCAGGCGTCCGTCCACGCAGCAGGTGCACCTGTGCAGAGAACACTGCAAGGCCCCCTTCACTCAAGCCCAGGCCCTGGTGACCAGCAACATGGAGAAGTTCCAGGACCATCTGGCCTGCTGTACCACACACTGCGACGACAAAGCCAAAGACTCAATAGATGCAGAGAATAAGGAGTTTCAGGTGAAACGGCAGCTAGAGAGCTGTGTGACCAGGTGTGTGGATGACCACATGCCTCTCATCCCATCGGTGACCAAGAAAATGAAGGAGTCTTTCTCATCCAGGAAAAGAAAAGTCTTTGCCAGTAGCTGTTGGAGAAAAGAGCAAGAATCTATATATTTAAAAAAAAATAGGAATTTGGATCTCTTAAGTTATAATTAAAGAAACAAAGATTGGCAGCAAATTTAAGGAATACGTCATTTGTCTTTGAATACAGTTCTAAGTTGTAACCCATACTAAGTAAAGTTGTAAAACCAATGCTCTGTACACCTATGTTTATCGTGGCTTTGTTCACAATAGAAAAGATTTGGAAACAACCTAAGTGCCCATCAACGAATGAATGGATAGAGAAGCTGTGGTATATTCACACAGTGGAATACTACGCTGCATTGAAAAACAAGGAAATCATGCAATATTATTCAAAATGGGTGACCCTGGAGGACATTATGCTGAGTGAAATATCTCAATCACAAAAGGACAAACACTGCATAACGCCACTGTTGTACAATGGGACTGACATCAGGGCTGGGATAAGAATAAGAAAAACTGGATAAATTATGCATATTGCATTGAAACAGAAGAGGGAGAGAACAGGTTAAATGAGATAGATGATAGGGCATTATGGTTGTCACAGGAGTCCAGAATGAAGGTTGCTTAGTTGAGTGTATTCAGGGTGGGGGTGAGGGGGAATAGTATACCAATGAAGGAATTTTTCTTTTACTTTTCAAAGAGCAAACTGGGCAAGGGAAGGGGCAGGGAGAAAAGTACAACAATGAATGTATGGAAATCCAAAGTCTCTGTAAATAGTTGTTAAAATAAAAAAGAAAAAAAAAGAAAGATTGGCAGTTTCCTCCTGTGAGGAAACTGGATGGGAGAGAGCCATGAATTGGTTTGACTTAAGGGGAGTGGCTTCCCTTGGCTTTCAAGATGCGTACTCCTACGTCCATCTTCTCCCACTGCAGGAGTGACCAGATCAGGGATCCTTGTTTCGTTCAGCTGCTCAATCCAACTGAGAGGAATGGTCAAACAGTATTTGTCCTCACGAGACTGAGCTAGTTCACTCAGCATAACGCCCTTTGGACTCTCCCATGTTATATGTTGTTGTTGTTATGTGCCGTCAAGTTGACTGTGACTCATAGCGGCCCTACATACAGCAGCTCTGAAGCCTGCCCTGTGTCCCTGACCCCTGTTACATAGTATTTTGCAAAACCGATGCTCCTTAGTGTACTGCATAGTATTCCACTGTGTGAATGCCCCATAATTTCTCAATCCATTTTTTGATGGACGTTGGGGTTTTTGTTTTCTTTTGTAAATAACGCTGCTTTTATGAACAGAGGCATACAAGCTGGGTCATATGATATTTCTATGTTCAGCCTTTTAAGGAAATGCCAAACTACCTTTCAGAATGGTTGTACCATTTTACAATCAAACCAGCTGTGCACAGAGGTGGAAGTATAACTAGTAAAATGTGGAAGAAAGTCCAGAAAGGGAGAAAGGGAGGGGAGGAAGTCACGAGGTTGACAGAGTTTGGTTAGCAGGGGGTGGTGGGGAGTGAAAGAAAGAATTAGGAAAGATCCAGTGGAGACCTGAAAAGATAAGGTAAAAGTAGGCACAGAGAGATGAATAGTGATTGATTTTATAAAACTATGTGAGTGAAACACAGTGTGGACATAGGAATATAAAATGCAGTATATATGAAAGATACACAAGGTATACAAATTCGGTGTGCAAACCAAAAATTAAAATAAAGCAGGGGAGGGAAAAAAAGAGGAACTGTGAGTTTTAACATGAACTCCTTTAGGAAACTTGTCTTCTTTGTATTTCTTTTAGTGCACAGACGTGGATGATGATGACTGGGACATATCATCCTTAGAAGAAGATAAAGTTTTGGGGGTGAAAGCTGAGAAGGACCAGAAGGAACCTCCTGCCGTGAAGAATGAACCAAAATCTACTCACGTTGCAAGTGCCTGGGGTGCATCCAACCCAAACAGACCAAAGGGAGAAGGTGGGTGGGCGGCCTCAGAGCCCAGTGAGAGCTCGGTCCGCTTCCGGTTACAGTGGCTTATAAATCTGTGCTTGAGCTGTGTTAGTACCACGTCAGAAGAAACACTGCCAGATAACAGCGAGCTTGGTGGCTTGTTGTTGTTATGCTGATTATTTTATTGATTTATTAAAGAGAGATTTGGGATTTCTTTGCTCTACCATCATGGTTTTCTGGAGGACCATCATCTTGCTATTTGATGCCAGCTACTAAATTCCAGATTACTGGGGTCTTGATGGTCCAGTTCCTCTGGATGGTGGTGGTTTCTGATACTTTTTAAATGTTTTTTTAAAAATAAGTACCAAAGATGCATAATTTACTGACTTTCTTCCTCTGACATACTTTGAACATGTTGTAAGGAGAGACCAGTCCTTGGAGAGGGACATCGTATTTGGGAAAGTGGAGGGAAGGTGCAGGAGAGGAAGACCCTCGATGAGATGGATCGATTCTGTGATTGGGGTGGTGGGAGTGAGTGTGTCAGAGACAGCGAGGTTGGCACAGGATAGAACGGCCTTTAGGGCTCTTGCACATAGGGTCACTATGAGTCGCAAGCGACTCAACAGCACCTAACAACAGCAACAACTGGTAAACTCAATCTTCGGTCTTGAAAAATGTTATTTTTTTTGAAAATGCGTGTGGCCCACAGACATGGGCTTGGTTCAAGGTGTAGAGATGTTTCATGCTGATACTGTTAACAGTTTGTCCATTGCTGTCTTTTTTATATAAGAATTTACGTTCTGTTTTTGCCCCTTCTAGCTGGGACCAACCCTGTGTCCCAGATTAGAACACTACCTTTTTTTTTTTTTTTTAAGTTGGACATGGTCCCTTATGTTCTGTGAAGATAGGTGAATACTAGGTTTGCTCTCACCTCCTGACACACCTCATTCCCCCCTTCACTATGTCTGGGCTCCCTTTGGCAGTTGTAAATGAACGCGTGCTGTCTCCATGTCTGCTCTGCGCATCTCAGCATTGTTGTCTGTTAGAGAGCTGAAGCCCTTGGTGCCTCTCGCTGACACTCCTCCCACCCCACAAGCCGGCTGTGCCTTTCTGTGCTCACTGCCATTCATTACGTCTGCCTTTCCCCTTTGGAACCGGCATCATTTGTGTCATGTCTTTAGACTGATCCTGATAGATAAGAACCACATTTACCTTATGCTGGCTTTGTGTCACTGCACAGGGCCAAGAGGTGGGCCCAAGTACTTGACTCCTCGTCCAGGCCCAGGACTCCTCAAGGACACGTCCTTAGGGTCACACTGCAGGGGACCTCTCCATAGGCACGACGTTTCCACAGGTGCTTTCAGTGGCTCAAAGTTACGGCCCTTTTCAATGAACTTCATATTCAAGTTCAGGGCTCTGGTGGTGGTGTTGTGCTTAATGGTTCAGTCCACTAACTGCGAGTTTGACAGTTCACCAGTTGTTCACGCGGAGAAAGGTGGCTGGTTTCCTCCCTTAAAGCTTTGTTGTCGTTCTGTGCCATCGAGTCCCAGGCAACCCACAGTAGGTTTTCAGAGGCAGTTGGGAAGAAATTGCCCATCTTTCTTCTGTGGAGCGACTGGTGGATTCAAACCGCATGCCTCTGGGACTGCAGCACAGCTCCTGACCACGAGGCTGCCAGAGCTCGTGTGGTGAAAGCACAGATCTCAATATACAGAACGTGCATTCTTATTTAAAAAAAAATAAAGATTTTCAGTCTCGGAAACTCAATGGAGGGCTATTTGGAATCAGAAAAAACTCGCCAGCAAACAAGGAGCCTGGTGGTGCAGTGGTTAAAGAGCCGTGCTGCAGCTGCAGGAAGTCACAGCTGCTTGATGGGGGGAGATGTGAGGGTTGCTCCCAAAGGTTTACAGCCTTGGAACCTCCTGGGCAGTTCCCCGCGACACTACAGGGTCACCAAGTCAGAAGCCATGTGACGGCAGTGGGGTTGTAGCTGTTAGAATCTAGGGAATGTGTGGTCCCTCCCGGCTTCATGAAGTTTATTTAGAGTCTTCCCCTTAACTATAGACCCAACCAGAGGGGAACTAGAACGACAGGCTGGATCAAGCACATTATACATCTCGGCCCTGGGTCAAGTACTGCAGAAGGGCCCTGGGCTGGTGTCCCCGGGATGTGGCTGCTGCCTGTCCCCAGGCATTAGGGCTGCCATGTCACTGGGAAGGGCTCCCCAACTCGCAGGAGCTGGAGAGGGGATTCCTGACAGCTTCAAGCACCAAGGCATCAGCTAGAACGTGACGTGACAGGTTTTCGCAAGCTTGGTGATGTTCTTGTTTAATCATGGGGTCTTGTCTTCTTCCTCCCCCTCTCTTCCCCTTCTTCCCCACAGGACATCAAGAAAATGAATTAAGCACATTAAAAAACAGCTTAGTGTCTGTGAGTGATTGGAGTGACTCCTCCGACATCTAGGTAAAATCGCCGAGGACCGAGCTGCTTCCTGAAGCCACCAGTATTGCAGCCTCACAGTGTTCATTCCAGCTGCCAGCCTCCCCGGGCATAATACCGAGACCCACGAGGATCTCCCACCCTAACAGGGAAGCCCCTCAGGACGGGGTCTGCACCCTCAGAATGGGGTCTGCACCCTCAGAACGGGGTCTCCACCCTCAGAAGGGGGTTTCCATCCTCAGAAGGGGGTCTCCATCCTCAGAAGGGGGTTTCCATCCTCAGAAGGGGGTCTCCATCCTCAGAACGGGGTCTCCAGACTCAGAATGGGGTCTTTACCCTCAGGACGGGGTCTGCACCCTCAGAAGGAGGTTTCCATCCTCAGAAGGGGGTCTCCATCCTCAGAATGGGGTCTTTACCCTCAGGACGGGGTCTGCACCCTCAGAA